GAAATATGTTTTATTTGTAAAATATTTTGTTAAATTATTAGACCCCGAAATTAAAGTAACAGAAAGTTTGTTGATATGGTATTTTTTTGTCAGTTGTAGAAAATTAATACCAAAAATAAAATTATAATTGTTTGATGTTGCCTACCTACCCAACTTAAACATGTTAAAAGCAGCCTACCCCAAAAAAATTATGACACAAATTGTATCAATTTATTTTTTATACAACCGCAAAAAATTTGTGTTCGTATAATGCTATCATGTTGTTGTCGTCGTCGTCCCAAGACACATTTGGTTTCCGGACAATAACTTTAGTTTAAGTGAATGGATCTCTATGAAATTTTACCAGAAGGTTCAATACCACAAAAGGAAGGTTGGGATTGATTTTAGGGGTTATGGTACCAACAGTCATGACAGTTTAGGAATTAGGGGCCAAAAACAAGCATTTTTGTAGTTTCCTGACAATAACTTGTGTGTAAATGTATGGATCTCTCTGAAATTGTACCACAAGGTTCCATATCACTAAGGGAAGGCTGGGATTGAGTTTGGGGGTAATTGCCCTAAATGTTCAGGAATTAGGGGCCAAAACAAGCATTTTTCTAGTTTCAAGACAATAACTTATGTTTAAATGTATGGATCGCTCTAAAATTGTACTACAAGGTTCCATACCACAAAGGGAAGGCTGGGAATGAGTTTGGGGGTAATTGCCCCTAACGTTTGGAAACTAGGGGCAGACAATTACTTGTGTTAAAGTGTATGGAACTCTCTGAAATTGTACTTTTTTCCTGAAAAGAAAATAATCTTCCAAATTTCAAATAAAATGGGGGGGAGGGGGGGTTCATATTATTTTACTTCAAAATTTTTGAAATTTCAAATTTGTTGAAAAAGATTTTTTTTTTTTGGGGGGGGGGGGGGGGGGGGGGTTCATACGTTTTTCTTCAAGATTTTTCAAAAAAAAATTGGGGGGGGGGGAATTTTTAACATCAGCTTCGTCTGAAGACATTTGGTTTCCGGACAATAACTTTAGTATAAGTAAATAGAAATCAATGAAATTTAAACACAAGGTTTAAAACCACAAAAGGAAGGTTGGGATTGATTTTGTGGGTTATGGTCCCAACAGTTTAGGAATAAGGGGCCAAAAGGGGCCCAAATAAGCATTTTTCTAGTTTCCAGACAATAACTTGTGGAACAGTGTATGGATCTCTCTGAAATTATACCACAAGTTTCCATACCACAAAGGGATGGTTAGGATTGGCTTTGGGGGGTTATGGCTCAAACCGTTTAGGAATTAGGGGCAAAAAAGGGGGAAAACAAGGGTTTCCTGGTTAATGGACAATTACTTAAGTATTGGGTCTTTGGATCTCTATGAAATAGATATTGGACCATTAAGCATTATATAAGGGAAAGCATTCGATTGATTCATGATATTTTACAGTATATAGAAGAGAACAGTATTTTGGAATTTTGTTTTTGAGAAAGCTTTGATTCTTCATGTTGGGACTTTTTGCTGTATACAATTTTTCATGCTATTAGTATTACAATTTTTTTCATATGCTGAATCTAACTGTATTTGGTTGTTGGGCCCATTTTCTAATTGGCCCAAATTTTGGTCCTAAGGCTATAAAATTTGTTTTGTTTGATTTAATAAACATTAAATAAAATTTAAAAGATAATAACTACAATGTTATATTTGAATTACCTCCCTTACATTGCTTTTAAATTATGTAAAGTTGTCAGCTAGTTTTAGTATGAATTATCTTTTAGCTGTTTCTAGAAACATCAAATACTGTGATGGAAGTATATAGTGTATATCAAAGGGTTCAGTGGTAATAAATTTTCATATTCAGAATTGTTTTTTGTGATCAATATCATTTGTTTAGGTTTTTTTAGCATTAAGAGTTACCTCCCTTACAATGGTTTTGTTATAAAGAAATGTTATATTGTCTTGAGGTGATTAGCTGTCAATTTATTTTTAGAAGTTACTACAAAATGTATTAAATGCTGATGAAGGTATATTAATTTTAGCCATGATTATGTATGTCATTTTCTATTTCAATACTTTTATGATGTATTTAAATGGGTTGTTATGGTTGCAAACTCCATTGGAAATTTGAATTGAGATTATGACCATATCTTGAGGGAAAGAATTTTTTTTAGGAAAAGGGGGGGGGGAGGTTAAAAAAATTAAATGTGGGGGGGGTAAAAAAATTGGAGGGGGATGGGGACAATTTTTTATCAAGATTTCAGAAATTAAAAAGAAAATTTCTTCAAAAAAAATTTTTTTTGACAAAAAATGGGGGGGGGGGGTAAACATATCGTATTGTATATCGTCTGAAAACAGATTTACAAAGTATTGCGCAACAGCACAGTGTATTGCACAAAAGCAAGAAATTGAATATAAATTCAAATCATATAACCAATTCTAAGTTCTTTGACTACAGTTATTCTGTGTCAGAAACCTATTATGTGTCAAATATTTAATTACAATCCAAATTCAGACCTGTATCAAGCACGAATATTGTGTCCATTTTTGCCCCAACTGTTCAGGGTTGGACCTCTGCAGTCATATCCAGCTGCACTTGGCGAAGCAATTTATTAGAAGTTGTTTTTGTGCTCCAATATTATTTTAAAATTAAATTAAAAATCCCTACCTACCTACCCAACCCTACAAGGCATGGGCAGGCAACATCAAACAAAGAATTTGTTAAGGGTGGCCTAATTTGTATTGTCAAAACATAAACATAAGGCCTGGAGAATATGTCAATGTTTCTGTGAACATTGAATTTTTGTGGATCTGCAGGCTACATGTCAACAACACAATAAAATCTTAACACATTTTGAAGAAATAAACTGACTGCCTTTTTAGTTTTTAAAATAGTTTTATTCCCTGGTCCAAATAGTTTCAAAACCACCATTTTTACTGAGAACTTTTCTCTATAGTGTAAAATTCTACAAAGAATTGTCTCGTGTTATCACATCCAATGGCTGCAATTAACTGGAAGGGGTTCCAATTTAGTTTCACATTGTATTGTCATTTTGATGATTTTCAAAAATGCTTATTAAGTGGACATGACATTAGTTGTTTTTTTTACAAAAGAAAAAATATAACTGGTATAAATACAATGCTTATTTTCAAGAAGATTAAGGCTCAGATATGTTAACTTTTGTAAACCCTGATGAAAAATTATGACAGCTTTGAATTTTTTTAAACTGTCTTTTTTTACTATAAATTTTAGCCAGATTGGTTGTATATCAAAACTTTGGTTAATTCACCATTTGAGAAGAACACATGCCAGTGTTATTATCTCATTTCAAAACTCAAATGAAATTTTGACTTACAAAAAAACGGTTTCAGATATATGAGTTTGCTTTCATTGTGCAGTTTTAAAATAAATTGTCTCCTACAGCCTTCAACAATGAGCAAAACCAGACTACTATACAGCAGAGCAAGCTATAAAATGCCCTGAAATGACAAATGTAAAACAAATAACAAATGGCTCCATTATGTATGTCAAGCTCATAAAAGTTGCTTTCCAGAAGTTGCAATTTTGTCTTTGTAAGTTACATTGCACAGTCTCTGTGTCCTCATTAATGATGTCTGGACCAATCAGAATGTCCAAATCAGTGACGTTCCCAAGATGCAACTCAATTTCTAATTGGTCCATTACACAGTCTTTTGTAAAATTTCAGACAAGTATTTTTGACAGGTTGAGTGGAAGGGGAAATAAAGTTTTGTCATCAATAAGCAATAATGTGCTCATCCATCCAATCCAATGTTTTACATTTATGAATGTCTGAGGTCCATTAAAGATTTAGCATCGTCCAGTTTTCTTTTATGTAATATTCAATGAGTAGATATCGTCACTAACCAATACACATGTAGATTTATAACACATCAATATTTTAACCAGTCAGCATTCCCAAAGCCTTATTTCCTCAAAAGTACTAAAACTTCTGGTACTAAATTATTCTGAATGAATTATTTATTGGTATCCCTTCTGGACCATCTGTTACATAACTAAATATTTCAGTTTTGAGGGTCTGTATACATGTATAACAGAAACATTCTGATCAGCTGATGGGATATGTTAAAGACTATAGAAAGTGTTGATCAAATACCAATGCCAAGTCATCATAAAAAAAATTTTGACCAGTACCAACATTCCTTATCCTACTGCTCCACTTCAGTTATCATTGTTTCAGACCCAAGTGACAACAAACTTGTAATTTGTACGGGTTTCGTTCCATTAATGTTCTAATTAGACCGTACAAATCAAAGGCAAATTTAGGATTATGGAGGCGGGATGCAGGGAGTCAGGTCCTTCCTTATGGAGCTACATATATGGTTAATGCATAGGTTTTTTACAACTCCAACATCTTAATTTGTCTTACCAGGGGCCCCCTTTTTTCTCGAAATCCTGGATCTGCACTTGCAAATGATGTTCAGAGTTCATCTTTATATGTCTTTTTTTTAAAAAATGAAATCATACATATTGGATGCAGTCTATTTGAAAATTACATTTATAATTTTTGCCTACCGTGTCTAGCATCGTTCACTTTGGGATGTACCAGTTTTTTTGGCTACCATAAAAGGAAATTTACAAAATTATGGATTCAGGATCCTGAGTAACATGAAAAACCATACCTTTTTTTTCACCGATCCTATGACAGTGCCTGAAACATATAAGACTAAGTACAATATCTAATATATGTGTACATGTATTTGTATTTGTACATGTATATACTCAATAAAGTACAATCTTCCTTTCATTTATAATTTATTATCAGAAACAAATGATCAAGAAATTGGCTTGTCATTAATGGTGTCAAAAAACTATAGGTGAAAAAATAAAATTATATATAATTCGCCTTCCAGTTGTATGTACCCACATTATCGGTTCAATAACTGACAACAACATGTATCATATTTATTATTTATCTGGTACAATCATGACAGGTGAAGAATGTAGAAGGTAAAAAATTGAAATATTCTTTATTTTTAGGATGCAGATGTTTTTGAAATAACAGACTTTACAACCGCCTCAGATTGGGAAAGGTAAAATATGGATTGTTATTGTTATAGAAGTAATGAATAAAATAAGAAGATCTGTAAAAGTATTTCAGTTACGTAAATGAAATTTGTTAAGTAATATTGTGAAAACAGTATTATTCTATTACCTTTGGAGTTGAGAGTTATATATGGTTGATTTACTTACATGATTAACCGATTGAAAATCTATATTATATAATTCTCAAATTCATAACATTGTTTTATTAATATTTATCCATTTCTTCATTTTGTATGCCCCTTGAAATATTCTATAAGCTGCATCAAGATACCACGGTATTACGGAGTTATTTTCTTGCAGTTAAGATATATGAATATAAAAATAAGGAGATATGGTATGATTGTCAATGAGACATCCATATATTATACATTGTGTACATCATGTACATTGTAATTTCTAAATGGACTGCATATATAGTTGATAGTATTTGAAACAAAAGACATGGTGCAAAAATGTTCATAAAATGTGTTGGGGAAGGCATGAAAATTTAGGGAAGGTAAGGCAGGAAACGCAACTATAATTTTTTGGCCTGATTTCATGAAAAATGCATGCAATTTCAATTGTTTTCAGAATTGCTAATATACAGAAAATCTGAAAACCAATCAAATAATTGACCACAATGTTTGTCTTTCTGTACAATACCTATCATATTCATATTTACAAGATTCTTGCTTGTAATTTTTATTTCCAATTTGTAAATAATTAGATTCTTAATCCTTACATGCCTTATCTAATTTAATGAATTTGATAAAAAAAAAAAATCCAATTTTCAATCTTTAAATCTTGTGGAATTTTCATAATAGTTGAAAAAAAATTAGATTTAAGAGAGTTACTGCATATACCAAGCGATGATATTTGCTGCAATATTCATGTGATTCTGTAATGCTTAATTTGAATACCAAATAAGGCCTTTAACCTATTTATTGTTTCAGTAAGATTCCAGTGGTTATAGAGAACATAGATCTTAGCATACAAAAATGTGGGGAATCTAATTTATATCAATACATCAGTTAGATCAATCAATATTTTTTGTAATATTGTAGTCACCAAGTAAATAAAAATTTTATTTCTTCAATACATACAAATTCCTCATATGTTTATTTATTTTTCTTCATATTGAAATGAAATTTAGCATTTAACAAAGTGAAAAATTTTTTTTTTTGAAAAACAGCCTGAAAATATTCATTATTGGGTATATATACTTGAATGGAGCCGAGTAATGAAACAAGACTTTCAACTACCATGTATATTGTCATGGTGTTGAACTGCCTAATATTACTAAATGCTTTTTGTCTTTGTTAGATTTATAGCCAGACTTGAAGAAGTTTTACATGAATGGAAATTAGTGAATAATAAACCCAAGCCACCTGCTGCTAAGGTAAGTTCTTTGTTTATGTTTTATAGATCAATAGACCATATTTATAATAAACTATAATTATGAGAGACAGCTTTTTCAAATGAAGGGTCATACAGGATGTAAAGCTCAAATCATATGTCTAATTGGAAACTATCAAGATAATAGTCCAATCATCCTAATATCATTACAGCAAAATTGGTGCTAAACTGTCAAATGGCTCAGACCCTTATATATATCTTTAAGTTTGATCAACTATTTAACTCAACAAATATTGTAATATTAGAAAATTTTATATCAAAATTATAAATGTGAAAGTCAGTCCTCCAAGTGAATATCATTCTATTGTTCACACATGCATGTAAAAATTGTACCTTATAGTTATGGTTAATGTTCTCCATAACCTAGTTTCATGAGAAAATAAAGTCAGTCAGTCAGTCATGAAATTGAACCTTTACTAATCCTGACCACTTGATAATCTTACAACTGGTGTAATAAAATGTTACACAATTCTTTTGGATTTTTATCTGTTTCATTCAAACTAAATGTATGACCCAAACAAGACCTGATTATATAAGTTTCCCTGCAGCTAGTAAGGATTTGTGATTACTTCATATTTAACATTCATTAACTAAGGATTAAATAAAAGTTTTATGTAGACAAGTTAGGAAGAATTCAAAGAACTTTTCAAAGATCTTCCATCACCAACAAACACCATTTCTAAATTGAAAAAGTTCTAATCAGCAAAAAGTTCTATCACATGTAGTCATAATGGCCTTTATTTACTTTAGCGAACCCTATACTTGAGGGTTAGGGTTATATTATGATTTGTTTTAGGGTAGAATTGGTACTAGTGTAGGGTTAGGTTTAGAGAAATGGCAAGTTACGTATAACCATATATGGGCAGGTACCATGAAGTAAATGAAGGCTGTTATAATGCTACATCAAAAAATTGTGTTAATTATCAAACATGACTTATCATTATAGATATTTTTAGGATGAATTTACTACTGGGGAATGGTTGGAAAAGACAGATGACATATGTTTTGCTGATTTTAAGTTTCTTATAACATATCACTATTTAAATGTATCTGGTAGCAAGTCAGAGTCACTAGATAGACAAAGTCCTGACAATGATGTGGAGGAAGAGGAGAAAAAAGAAGGTAAATAACAATAATAAGAATGTGTTTTGTTGACTATCAGGGGCTCCCGAGGAGCAGTTACAGCACATACATTATTCAGGACATTGTCAATGAAAATTTGTCTTATATTTGTATGGCTTTTTTTTTTTAAGTTTTTGATTCTATTAAGTATTCAATGATCATGACATCAGTTTACAAATTTTGTCTGCAAAAGTTGTTCGAAATGAAATATTTATTATTTAGAAAATAATTTCTGAATTTACAGTACCTTCTCTGTGGTAGGACATTCTGGTACTCGGTCAAGTAAGAGCAACTAAAAGATGTAAAATCAAGCTTACAAGATATATTTAAATAATTTAGAAGGGTGTCTTTCTGCAATTTGATCTTATTAAATGCTTCAGGTTGATTTATAGTACTAGTTTCAGAATTTTTGTGATGTTTTATTATCTAGAAAGTTTGTGACAGGATATATGTCGCAAATTAAAACACTTGCATTTTAAATTTTATAAGCATTATTTATATGCAGCATTTCCTGAAATCATAATAATTAAGCACACATTTTTGTCCATTCTTTGTCAAACCCCAAAATGCACACAATCTTTTTTGAAATTTACAGTCCTGGTATTTGTTTCCTATTATAGATGAGACGCCAACAGTTCTAACAGATCTAATGAGTACAGATAATGACTTCCCATCAAAGGCACATTGTCTTGTCAGACTGTAGGTATTCTAAGAGTATATATTGTAAACAAACTAATTTTCGTGAATTTCATGGAAGAAAAATAAAGCAAATATAAATCGTCTCGAATATGTACAACATGAATAATTCTTGATGTAAATACAGTAACAATATTAGAAAATCATGGAAAATGAATCGTGCCAAGTTAACTAGATACAGCTTAACCCAAATTTAGTATTCGTGAAAATAAGTTGGTTTATAGTATATGATACTTTATGTCTTATTCCGAAATACTGTGTTTCAACCATGTGGGAGACAAATGAATAAGTAATTTATCACTAAAAGAAGAATAAGCCATGAAAATTTTAATCAACTACTTGTGTGGTGACAGTATCTACATGTTTTCAGACATCATTTGTTTTAAAAAAAAACTTATATGGATGATCTAGATATTCGTCAACAGACCAAAGAAAACACATATCAATGATAAATTATTAATATAACAATAAGTAGATGTGGTATGATTGCCAATAAGACAACTTTCCACCAAAGTTCAAGTGATATGGATTTAAAAGTTCCTGATATGACAAAATGATAAATACAATTCAAGTGAGAAACCCAAGGCCTGAGTTATGTCTTAAAGATGCTACACATTATGACATGACAAAACTGTGTTTGGAAATATCAAGTTATAAGCAATTAAACATAAGTACATATTAAAATAAGAAAACCAGAATACTGTAAACCAAGTAATTTCTGCAAGCAGGATTTCTCCTGGATTAATTTTCTATTTCACCACCTCTTTGCCAAAACAATATTTTTTTCGCCACTTTCAATTTTTTTTTGCCAACTAACATAAATATATTTTTTGTTTAAAATTTTCTTAATTGTCTTGCTAACAAATAAAGAAATCAGTTTGCAGCATTTTTGTCTAATATTTTATAATTCTACATATCTATTTTTTAATCTACATTGTAAAAAATAAGCACTCAATAATAACAAACATTTACTTTATCAAAGGTACTGTAAAATTGCATTTTAAATCATGAAATTATCGTATTCGACTTCTGGGAACACGGGATTCATTTTCAATAAATTTATCTGACACTTCCATCTATAGTTGAAGGATACCGACTAAAGTCAGAGATTTTTCTTACTTTTGGACATTTGTCTTCATAACATTTTAATTTCTGGACCATCATCATTAAGAGACATAGTTGGGACGTAAAACTATGTGACATGTGACACAATTTAACCACACAATTTCATTAAACAATTCAATCAATACCTTTATTAATTAGTCCATTGTTGTTGATAGCTATAAAATGCAATCAGCTAATTATTGATTTTCAGTCATAATCGTAACACGTGATAAGTTCAAGGTGAATTTGAATATTTGTCTTATGAGGGGGAAAGTCTGAGAAACCTGAAAAAAACCAAGATGGACAAAGTCCAACCATTATATTTCTTTCGCCAATAATGAATTTTAATCGCCACAATTTTTATTTTCTCGCAAAATGCAAAATGTCGGCCGCCAGCGGAAACCCTGTCTGCAAGCCAATTATTTTCACAACTTGAAAATACATCATTAATACTAATCATCAGGAAAATGTCTAAAGTTTGCTATTTTCTTACAAGAATACATTTATAACAATGTTTATATGAAATTGCAAAAATAAATTGCTGAGAAGTTGTCTTTCAATAGCTAAATGTGAAAAAAGTATTCACGAAAATAAGTTTACAGTATGTGATAAATTATTTTACAGGTATGGTTTACAAGAATTTATAGTAATTACACCAGCAGATAGGAACAAGGCAATAGACAGCGAGAGTAGAGCTAAAGTTTTACTCAGTTCTGTATCAGTGGCACTAACCAATTCATCAAGGTAGTTAGCTAAAGTTTTACTCAGTTCTGTGTCAGTGGCACTAACCAATTCATCAAGGTAGTTAGCTAAAGTCTTACTCAGTTCTGTGTCTGTAGCACTAACCAATTCATCAAGGTAGTTAGCTAAAGTTTTACTCAGTTCTGTATCAGTGGCACTAACCAATTCATCAAGGTAGTTAGCTAAAGTCTTACTCAGTTCTGTGTCTGTAGCACTAATTCATCAAGGTAGTTAGCTAAAGTTTTACTCAGTTCTGTGTCAGTTGCACTAACCAATTCATCAAGGTAGTTCACTTAAGTCTTACTCAGTTCTGTGTCAGTTGCACTAACCAATTCATCAAGGTAGTTAGCTAAAGTTTTACTCAGTTCTGTGTCAGTTGCACTAACCAATTCATCAGGGTAGTTAGCTAAAGTTTTACTCAGTTCTGTGTCTGTAGCACTAACCAATTCATCAAGGTAGTTAGCTAAAGTTTTACTCAGTTCTGTGTCAGTTGCACTAACCAATTCATCAAGGTAGTTAGCTAAAGTTTTACTCAGTTCTGTGTCAGTGGCACTAACCAATTCTTCAAGGTAGTTTTTTTGGGGTTTTTTCTCAGCAAAACCATATATCACAACCATTTGACATATAATGATTTCAATACAGTGCGATGTTGGCCTCTGCCCATCATTAGGTTTATGGTGACTTGTACAAGTTAAATGTTTTACATGTTTTTTGGGGTTGCTGTGTCTTCCAATTACACATTTAGTAAATGATTCTATAAAGTTTAGAAAAGAAATTATTTTGTTACTTATATTTCATTTTAAATACCAATGGTCTTCAAGAATATACATTAAAAGGATAACAGGAGTTACCACAAAAAAAGGACAATATAACAGACCACACTGTTTTTCTGTTCATCATTTAAATACCAGTGCATTATTTATTATTCAGGAAAATAAGCCATAGAGAGCTAGATGTATTATGGGTAGATGTTTACTTTCACTTTCTACTTTCAGTTCAATACCTGTGTTTATACAGATACAACAGCCCTGGAGACAGATGTATTGTGGGACCAGTGTTATGTCTGAGATGTCTGTAGAGTTTGATGTCATACATTTGGCTCGTATACCACAACAGTATTCGCATCTAGCTGGTCTTCTTGATGTCTTTAAGTCAAAACTGGTTGGTAAAATAAAAAAAATAAACACAATTAAATCATCATTCCGGATACTGTATACTCAACTTCTTCAGACCAACCCATGAAGAGCCTGGATTTTCGTGGTCACTAAACAACAAAATATATTATTTCTTTTATACATGTGGCTTTTTAAGGTTCAAAGTGAAACATTTTGTAACCAGAAAAAAATGAAACAGTTCTTAATGATGTTATATTACAAAAGATATCTTAACCATAGACTTTTTATTCTCAAAAAGATCAAAATCTGTGAATATTTTTGCCTTAAATCAAAATATACTATTGATAAACTCATTATATTGGAATTGTTTTAGGCAACACAAGCGACACCTAGACCAACTGTAGACGTAGCTGTCAGATTTTCCTATCAGCTCCAGGAGTGGGTTAACTCCCCTTGGCCACAGGAACCACCAGGTATGTTTTTCAAAGTCAGACCATAGGAACCATAATTTGAATACTACAGCTGATGTAGATTTTTATCATTTCTACAATTTCTCATCCTTTGACATCTTTGTTAGAAAAAGACTATAACACTAATTTATAAAACTGTTCAAAACAAACCTTATTCATCGTTATATTGATAATTATGAACTAAAAGAGACATATCTCATCTAAACCAATGATACATTCTATTATAATAAGAAACTCAACTGAATTATTACTCAAATAGTGCTCTACCATCTTTCATTACATTATAAAAAACTTTTTATTTCTGTGTTAATAGAAGGCCCCAGTGGTAAGTCATGCATGAAGAACTAATTGAATTGTTGATGATCACATGTCCAAAAAGCTTAAATAACAAAATGTTCACTATGGCTGAAAATCATGTCTTATCAAAAGTATTTGCATGGTGTCCTTGAAAAAAACTTTAAGTTTTGTCATTCAATTTAGATCAAGATTTTACCAGTTTTCTGTAGTTATCAGTTTTATGCAACAGTTTTGAATTAATATAACACATATTCATAAAATATTCTTGATATTGTTTGCGTCGGTTTTTATACGCCCGTTTACGGGACGTATTATGGTATACCGTTGTCCGTCCGTCCGTCTTCAACATGTCGGACATTAATTCAAAAACTCTTAAACCAATATGCATGAAACTTTGGTGAATTGTTTATATCTATTGACGTGAGCTCCCTTTCATTTTTTATAAATTTCAGATTTACCATTTCCCAGTTTTGGGATTTTATTCATTAAAAATGGGGGGATTTTCCAGTTTTCAGACAATAACTCAAAAAGTATTTCACCAATTTGCATGAAACTTTTGTTAATTGTTCATATCTATTGACGTGAGCTCCCTTTCGTTTTTTATAAATTTCGGATTTACCGTTTCCGAGTTTTGGGGTTTTATTCATTAAAAAAGGGGGGATTTTCCAGTTTTCAGACAATAACTCAAAAACAGTTTCACCAATTTGCAAGAAACTAGTATTGCGCAACAGCACAGTGTATTGCACAACAGCAAGAAATCTTTCATATAACCAATTTCAAGTTCTTTGACTACATTTATTCAGAAACCTATAATATATCAAATATTTAATTACAATCCAAATTCAGACCTGTATCAAGCTTGAATATTGTGTCCATTTTTGCCCCAACTGTTCAGGGTTGGACCTCTGCGGGCATATCCAGCTGCGCTCAGCGAAGCAGTTTATTAGTGATGAGAGGGAAAGCTTTTTATATCTCGCTTTAGTGTGACATCTAAGATGATAAAGAAATTCATAATGAATATTGCATAATGCAAGGAACATATAAGAAATAAGCTGGTAAATTATAAATTAATTGATCTTTGTTAGGTTTCTAGGAAGTGACTTTTTAAGAGGTCAAGGTTATTAACCGTGGTCTGATTATTTACCATGAAGCCTATGTCAATTTTAATTCCCCATTTCGATTAACACAAACTTTGAATTGATTGATTCTACCACACTTTTACTTGTATGCAAAAAATGTATATTCTATAAGTATAGGAACTTATGCTGCATTAAATTGCGGATTATTTATCTGTTTAGCAAACATTCAGTGTATTATCCTAGCCCAATTTTAGTCTGGTGTCCTGAGGCCCAGGAAGAATTCACTGAATTAATTGTTCATGTGGGGAATATGTAAACAATCTATATAAATATTGAACTTAAGGTAAAATAAAAATTAAAAAGTAAATGTGGTTGCTTATTTTAAATATTTATCAGCTTTTTTTTTAACTGATGTGAATAAGCAAATATATGAAGATTAAATTGATGAACTTATTGATTTGTGAATGTTACATCAGAAAATGATGCTATCTCACAATTCACTGTTTAAATGTTTAACTAAAAATACATGTGTCCATTTCATTGTGTCTCTCCCCCTACTCTACTCTAATGACAGTTTATCTAAAGTATCCAAAAAGATACAGATCAGTCCAAAGGATTTTATTTAAAGGGACCATAACAAAATCAAATTGGATTTCTAAGGCTAATTCTTGCTTTGTTTTGTTACAAATAAAAGGAGAAATGGGGGAATACAAAGATGAGACAACACCCTAACAACAACAAAAGTATGGAAAATATGTTTAGATGTCCACATGCCATATATCAATCTTTACATTCTGACATATTTAGTGCTTCACTTTCATCCTTTTTATCTCTATAAATGGCTGGTACATATAAAAGTCATTTAATTCTGAGATATGGGAGGTCTTTATGGGCTTGTTTTGATATAATCTATATTGTTACAGATTTATCATCTCCTATGGAAGATGTTTTGATATAATCTATATTGTTACAGATTTATCATCTCCTATGGAAGATGTTTTGATATAATCTATATTGTTACAGATTTATCATCTCCTATGGAAGATGTTTTGATATAATCTATATTGTTACAGATTTATCATCTCCTATGGAAGATGTTTTGATATAATCTATATTGTTACAGATTTATCATCTCCTATGGAAGATGTTTTGATATAATCTATATTGTTACAGATTTATCATCTCCTATGGAAGATGTTTTGATATAATCTATATTGTTACAGATTTATCATCTCCTATGGAAGATGTTTTGATATAATCTATATTGTTACAGATTTATCATCTCCTATGGAAGATGTTTTGATATAATCTATATTGTTACAGATTTATCATCTCCTATGGAAGATGTTTTGATATAATCTATATTGTTACAGATTTATCATCTCCTATGGAAGATGTTTTGATATAATCTATATTGTTACAGATTTATCATCTCCTATGGAAGATGTTTTGATATAATCTATATTGTTACAGATTTATCATCTCCTATGGAAGATGTTTTGATATAATCTATATTGTTACAGATTTATCATCTCCTATGGAAGATGTTTTGATATAATCTATATTGTTACAGATTTATCATCTCCTATGGAAGATGTTTTGATATAATCTATATTGTTACAGATTTATCATCTCCTATGGAAGATGTTTTGATATAATCTATATTGTTACAGATTTATCATCTCCTATGGAAGATGTTTTGATATAATCTATATTGTTACAGATTTATCATCTCCTATGGAAGATGAAATTGGTTGTTCTTCTTTCGGTTGTCTTCCCTTTGGTGCAATTGAGGATCCTATCAGGTAAATATGTAGTACATTAATTACATACATAAGCTTTTTACAAGCATATGTAATACATTTAAAAGCAATTTCTTGTTAACTTCAAATAATGGTAAGTCACTAAGATTTAGAAATAATGATAAATGTTAAATGGGACTATTATGACCTCCATACAGCTGCAGTAATCCCAAAATAAAACAATGATTTGAATCGGCGAGACCTTTAATCAAGGTCACTACATCTTTTGTCGAGAGTAATATTTGCCTAGCTAAAATTTAAGAACAAAGCTACTAAAATTTCAGTACTAAGCTATTGCCTATCATTTTAGTACTAAGCTATTGCCTAAGATTTCAGTACTAAGCTATTGCCTAAGATTTCAGTACTAAGCTATTGCCTAAGATTTCAGTACTAAGCTATTGTCTAAGATTTCAGTACTAAGCTATTAACTAAGATTTCAGTACTAAGCTATTGCCTAAGATTTCAGTACTAAGCTATTGCCTAAGATTTCAGTCCTAAGCTATTGCCTAAGATTTCAGTACTAAGCTATTGCCTAAGATTTCAGTACTAAGCTATTGCCTAAGATTTCAGTACTAAGCTATTGCCTAAGATTTCAGTACTAAGCTATTGCCTAAGATTTCAGTACTAAGCTATTAACTAAGATTTCAGTACTAAGCTATTGCCTAAGATTTCAGTACTAAGCTATTGCCTAAGATTTCAGTACTAAGCTATTGCCTAAGATTTCAGTACTAAGCTATTGCCTATCATTTTAGTACTAAGCTATTGCCTAAGATTTTGCCTAACTAAGATTTTAGTATAAGTATTTGCCTAACTAATTAGCTTTAAGGAATTTAAGTAAACATGTATAGTACATTAAAATCTACGTTAACATCTGAAACAGGAAAAATATTTGTCATGAAAAAGTAATTAAATGTTTGTTACAAATTAATACTGACTGTTTAGAATAATTTATATTTTTTCAGTGCTCTACAATTGTTTTGTTCCTGGTATAGTCTGTCGGAGGATATGATTGTTGAAAACCAAAATTATAGGTATGTGGTCAAGTGTATTTGTCAGGATACTTTCATTTCACATAGTATGTGTATGATGATAACTTTTGGAAGTGTTTTAGAAGAGGCAAATAACCAGTTTATGTGTGCAAAGATGTATTATGTTTTAAGTACTTAAATAAGAGAACCTCGTGAACAGTATTGAACAATTTATTTTCTCCAACCTTTAAAATTAACATATCTTAAAGCTTAAAGTAATTTAGGGATAATATGGCCCTGTATAATCACTAACAAAAAATAATGATAGAGTTTCACCGTGTCATTTAAGAAATAAACCTAATTTCAGTGAAAAAAAGACAACTTGATACTGTTCAAATCTTACTAACAGTATTTTTAAATGGAAAAAAGGCAACAGAAAAGTTGGGATGTTTTCCATTTTTTGAATTTTCTTTAAGGAATTATAATGAAAAGAATTGTTTAGGAACTGCTTTGAATTTTCTTGCCCTTTAACTTTGGTATTAAGCTACTGTTAAATTTGTTAAAACCAGATTATCTAATGAGAAATGTTATACTTGTAGTGATCTTGATCCACTTCTAGCACCTCAGTGGACAGCAAAAATAAAAAAGACTGAAGATCCACAATGTTTACTAGGTAATGTATTAAAGGAGGTTATTTAATAAGAGTCACTGTTAGGCACTCTTCATTGCAAATAATAGTAAATTTTTCATTCCTTTTAAATTCATGTTAATTTTGTTGATAAATAAATTGGATGATACAGTCTGGGCTTTTCAGTGCAGAAAGCTCACTGTGACATCATAAACTTGTCATAAATTATATACCCGGTATTTGATGGAAATTTGGCATTTAGGTAAACTCTATGTTAAAGAGACATAGGAGCAACAGTCTTTCAAAGAGAGGTATTTTACTCGCAACTTCTTTGTATGACATCTTTTAGGGTAAGGCTGTTACTTGTATCTTAGTGTTCATGGAAAGATCTCAAAATGTGGCAGGTTCATGCTTTTAAGTGAAATGTTAATCATGTAGAGAAAAAAACAGCCTGTGTCATGAAAGTTAGGAATTCTTCAAATCTTTAAAGATAACAAATTGTTAGTGCAAATACCCCTAAATAGAAGTTTTGTTTTGGAGTGCTTTAAGTGTGTACATTTTTTTTGGTGTTAAAAAGGTGAAAAAGAAAAAAATATGAAATTAATACTAATTTTAAGATTCCGAAAACACAAGTTGATAGTAATTTTACGTAGTACTAGTTTATGTTCTTTATTCAGTTCTTGTTTTAAGTTGAATTTGTTTATTTACAGGGACTTATATACACAAGTTTTTAAAGCACTGTTACAGTAAGGAGACGACAAGAGATTTGTTGTGGAACATTTTATCTGAGGAAGTAGAAAATGGTATGATTGAAATAATCATGGGTTATGTTGTGAAGAGTTGGACAATTTATATATACCATCATGTGAAGCACTTATAAAATGCAGTGATTTACCAAAGAATCAATTTTATTGAGTTTATTGTACATGTAATTTCATTTTTAAAAGGAGCATACAGCAGACAAAGGTGTTTTACAAATATCCAAAAAGGTTGTACTTTTGTATAAACAAGTCAAAAGGCTGTAATGCCAAGAAAAGGAGGTCATCGTAAAGCAAACATCTCCTTATTATTATATTATATAAATTTGAACTGTAAAACACCATTTACCTTTCTGGACCCAAAAAAATCAGCTAAATACCAACAAGTATAGCATCTAGAGTCCACAACTGTTGGATTTCTAAAAGATAGAAAGATGTAAGGACAGAATGATGAGTTAAACACTAGATCCCTAGCCACTGATCACAGGGGTATAAAGCATGCGCAAAAATAAAATGCAGTTTGGCTATGGTTATGTCAAAGAATTAATAAATTACTTCAATAGATCTGTACATCTGTGCAAATCCATCTCTAGACTGTAATGTAATGTGAGTTTTTCATGTGATTTTGCTGTTACAGTACTTCCTAATCGTATTTTCATGAAGCTGCAGATCTGTAACTGCAACAAAATATATTTTGTTTCTCCATTTAGCAACCCAACTTTGTTTGTTGTCATTTAGCACCCCTTTTTATATGACCGCAAAAAAATTTGCAGTCGTATATTGGTATCACATCGTCGTCTGAAGACATTTGGTTTCAGGACAATAACTTTAGTAGTAAATGTAAATAGAAAGCTATGAAATTTAAACACAAGGTTTATAACCACAAAAGGAATGTTGGGATTGATTTTGGGGGGAAAAACAAGGGATTCCTGGTTAATGGACAATTAAAAAAAGTACAATGTTATGTTTGGATTACCTCCCTTACACTGCTTTTAAATTATGTATAAAGAAATGTTGTATTGTCTTGAGGTGATTAGCTGTCAGTTTATTTTTAGAAGTTACTATTTAAAAATGCTGATTAAGGAATATTAATTTTAGCCATGATTATGTATGTCATTTTCTATTTTAAGACTTTTATGATGTATTTAAATGGGTAATTATGGTAGCAAACTCCATTGGAAATTTGAATTGAGATTATGACCATATCTTGAGGGAAAGAATTTTTTTTTTTGGAAAAAGGGGGAGGTGAAAAAAAAATGGGGGGGGGGGGGGGGGGGGGGTAAAAAAGAAATTGTGAGGGGGGGGGGGCATTTTTTTCTCATTTTAGATTTCAGAATTTAGAAGAAAATTTCAATTTTTTTTTTTTGCCAAAAAAGGGGGGGGGGGGTTAAATTTTTTTTTTGGGGGGGGGGGGGGTCAATTCGCAACAGCATAGTGTATTGCACAAAAGCAAAAAATTGAATATAAATTCAAATCATATAACCAATTCTTAGTTCTTTGACTACATTATTCTGTGTCAGAAACCTATTATGTGTCAAATATTTAACAATCCAAATTTTGACCTGTATCAAGCGCGAATATTGTGTCCATTTTTGCCCCAACTGTTCAGGGTTGGACCTCTGCGGTCGTATCCAGCTGCGCTAGGCGAAGCAATTTATTAAATGCTGCATGGTCTTATTGGAAATTTTTTATTTTCCAACTATGATTTACTACCTTGATTTTCAGAAATATTCTTCAATACATATGTATATTTGAATTTACTCAAGAGAAGTGGTCTACTTTATTATTGACAATAAATGATTTCAGATGCATCAGCAGATATAAGTCAAGCTTTACACAGACTGACGGAAAACAAAGTTGGTTATAACATTCCATCACTTAGTAATGTTGTATCTAAAGCAGGAAGTAGATTAGCTGTCAAACAGGCAGAGGCACCTATATCTCAAGATACCATTAGTGACATACTGTTGGTAAATATGTATTATTTCTTATGCAGCAAAAATACTGCAATCTGATTGGTTAATTACCCCAGTGTAAATAACACCCCACCCTTGTTCACCCAGGGATAAATAAAATTGTGCCAAAAAATTCAAAAATTAAAAAATTGCCAAAATAAAGAAAAAAAAAAAATGTCAAAAAAAAAAAAAAAAAAAAAAAATAAAATGTCAAAAAAAAAAAATAAAAAATAAATAAATTTGAGGACAAAAAATTTTAAAAAATTAAAATTTTTTTTTTCTTTTTTTCCTGAATTTCCCCAAAATAAAGAAAAAAAAGTATTTGACAATACGCAGCAACATCAACGTTGAAAAAATATTACACTGGAAATTTTTCATCAGCATTTTTCAATTTTACATCCCGGTTTAAAAATGAGTAAAGGAATTGTTCATAAGAAATAAATTTGTTATCTTGGTGTAATCAGGGGTGTACGGAATTTTACACCGTTGTTGAAAATTCATACAACCATTCGGCTGCGCCTCAGGGTGTATGAATTTTCAACAACGGTGTAAAATTCTGTACACCCATGATTACACCAAGATAAGTAATATTATATGGAATTGTGTTGATTGATTATCTTTCATTAATTTTTCATTCAAAAATGAATCAAGCTGCTGATATACTGTCAAACCTTTATATAAAGGTCACCCTCAGGCCAAAACTTTGAATTCAGTTTAAAAATGCATAGGTACAGTGGGCAAGAAGAGAATGAAATTCCAGACAGGTTTTCACTTAATGGCCTGAGAACAGTTATTTCATAGTGCATTTATTTTAGACAATAAATTCAAATTAAAAAAATAGCACCTGCTCCATCTCAAAAAGATATCAAAATTATAGAAAAGTCTAGTAGCTCTAACTCAAAATATGGAAAATTCTATGTTGAGGGGGCTATTATTCAGTTTGACAGCTTCAGACATTCTAATTTTTGACCTTTTTTGACTGGACCAAATCATTACTTTACATAAGAATTCAGCACCCAATTTTTTTAAACATATAATTTCATCCTCTTACTTGATATTTCATGTATGAAATATAAAGAAATAAATTTGGAAAGTGTATTAAAAAAATTTGCAAGTTATACACTGTCCACACTAGGGACGATATTTGTAGACAACGAAAATCAAAGGACGATAACTGTGTCCTCGGACATAATACAGGTAACCTTTATTGCAGGTTTCACTGTACTGAAGTTTTCCATGATTGACCGTAGTATTTTTTAGCCGTGTTTGTTTATAAATTATGACAGAGGAATACTGTATTTTTTTTCTAAAAATAACATTTATATTGGAAAATGTCTTAAAAATTATTTAAGAAAAAAACATATTTCTTTTTGTCTCCAGTTTGTTGGACTAAGTCCCCAAAATGTCTTTGACAATACAAAATTTTTTTTATAAGCCTATGTGCATGATAAAACCTAATGAATATAAAAAAATTAATATGTTGTGGTATAATTGCCAGTGAGACAACTATCCATCAGAGACAAAAGGACAGGTATATTTTTACCTTATCCTCTTATTTTGATATAATGTTTAATAATGATTTGTTTGGTTCATTTTGATCCAACTTTCCCTTTAAAAATTTCAGATTTTGGTGACAAGGAAATTAGCTGGTTGATTTAGAAAGGATGAGCAATATAAAGGTTATTTTTAAAAGAAAGGTTGAAGAAACTAAATATAAATTTTTCCTGAAATTTATTTTCAGTTTTTGTTTCCTGATGCCAAAGATCCATTAGAGAAAGCAAATGATGACAGTGAGACAGAAAACACATGTGAAAATAACAATCCTTCAAAGTTTACAGCATTGTTAGAGGTGAATATTAAATCATAGAAGTTGCTGACATGATATAAGTCACTTGACTCTTTCCAATGGACAGTTTATCTACTTCATTTAATTATAAAACAGAAAGATGTGGCCTACATGCCTACAGCAGTTGAAGTTTCAAAATGAAGAAAATAGTATTTTGTTTGCATGCATGAACAAAACCTTAATTGATTTCCTGGCATTTGTTAGAATTTTGAATAAGTTGCATTTTAGCATTTGAAGTTTTAGCTTCAACACATTCATTTATAGGGTTATAACAGACTGTGCATATTATTTTTTACAAGTTTGTTGCAGAAAAAACCCAGTTTCATTATTTTCTATTTAAAGTCATTACCTAAGCGATTAAAGACAGCACCTACAGATAGCTTAGTTTACAGATTAGCTGTGTGTTTTTGTATAGTGAACAAAAACTATGGAGGTCTCAAGGGGTTAGCTCAGCTGTGGCAGGAGTTTGTACTGGAAATGAGGTACAGATGGGAGAACAAATATGAATTAGAAGGGTAAGGTCATGATAAATATGTATTTAATGTGTGAAACATGAGAGATTTTGTTATAACTTCTGATTTAGCACCGCTACCACTTACCTACATAAATTAGAATTTCAACTAAACTCTTTAAAAAAAAACATTTTATAATGGACAAAACCACTCAAACTATTATTTTAAAACAACAACACTCTGTAGTATGTATATAATTCTGTAAATTCAGAAATCATTCTTTCCATTTATTATTTTGATGGTCAATCATCTGACAAAAATTCTGTATAGGAATTTTGCAGTTCAAATTTAAAATGTTAGTGCTGATCAAAGTGATACTAGTTCAATTGCATTTTTTGCAATAATAAAAACATCTAGGAAAATTTTTGAATTTATAGAATATCTAAGATTGATTAATGGTTGCTTAACTAGGAGATATCTAAGACAATAATGTGGTAATGTAATTGATGGCCTATATTATAAACTTTGATTCTTGATCATTCAGATTAGTGCACTACTTTATTTTTGTTTTGTTTTCTTTGCTTTCTAAAGTGATAGATGAAATGTATTCACAAATCTTATTATTTCAGAGTAAGTAAATCTGCTCCACACTTAGGGTCATGTCTACTTTATCAGAAATTACAGGTATGTAAAAATAGTAATTTTAATGTTATTATCATCATTTGCAAAATAACATAAAAAATAACAAAATTCCTGAGTATCATTGTGTTAGTGTTAACCTACTGCAAGAATATATGATCCAAACATTAACTTGATGGAGAAATACATTTATCTTAGGGGAATGATTTCAAACAATATTTTGAATTCTTAACAATTTTTACAAAAAACTTGAAAAAGAAGTAGATGGGAGTTGCATTGATAAGTCAAATAAAACAATTAAGGAAAATATGATATTGAAATGAACAGTTTTTTGCAATGTTTATTATCTTGAAAGCCTTTCTATAGACCTCAGTATGAGAAAATTTCTAATGAATTGAATGCTTCTTTTTATAATTTTATTGGGATGTAAAGCGTTATCCTAAGCACATTTTGTATGAAGCTCAGAAGCACTTCATATTAAAAATGTGTGCACGTTAAAGGCTTTTGCAACCCTATAAAATTATTAAAACAAGCATTTAATTCTTATAATGACATTTTTATGCTACAGCCATGAAATGATATATAGCTTTTCGTTTGTTTTTCAATGCATTATTTTTACATTGTCACGGATAGCACATGCAGTCTTAGCTGTTGTATTTTATAAGGAAATAAAATATGACATTGGAGTGCCTCACAATTGTCATCAGCCAATCAGAATTATGGATTCTAATGAACCATACATGTAATGTAATTATTTGAAGTTAAAGATTCTTATTACCTGAATTCATGCTGCCATTAAGAGAAATGAACCTATATATATAAAAAAACTACAAATTTTCAGTTATATATGTACAATTAACATTTGATTTATTGCCAAAGAATCTACTTTTTTTCCAATGCAAACTAACTTTATAATTTCGTCTTTATTCTCAGATTATCAGTTGAATGCATATTATTAAATATTTATTTCAGATGTTAAATAGTTGTATAGATAAAAAGATTCAGAGAGAAACTCTTTTCAAAGGATATACTAGTCAAACCAATCTAGATTCAAACTCTTCTGAAATGGAGGTAGAAAACAATAGTGAATCAAATGGCAAATGTGAAAGTGAAAATAAAAAAAGAAAAGAAGGTTGTTCAAATAAGTTAGACAGAAAAACTAGTGATAGTTCAGCAGATGATGATGATGAATTCTATGAATGTCAAGACTCTCCTTCTAAATCACCAACAGAATCAGATAAAGATGTTGATGAAAAAGAAGATTCTAGTGAAACAATGGACACTTCACAGAGTGAATCATCATCATTTGTGGACTCGGTGACACATAAACCTGAAGGACGGCTTTCTGCATTTAATGATATTCAGTTATTAAGTACAGGAGAACAGTTATATATACCTGTTACCCAGGAGCCAGCTCCTATGACAGAAGATATGTTAGAAGAACATGCTGAAATACTTGCCAAGTATGTCATGGTTGTTTATATTCAGTTATACTTTTTTCAAACAAATAAAACACTTTTACAGATAAAAAGCATCTTATTGAGATTTATTGCTTTCCGACTTACTTCTCTTACTACATACCAGCTTTCGTTAGGTGAGCAGCAAAAATATGGTTAGTTTTGTAAACATTACTTCTATACTAGATAATTCGTATCAGAAAATGCATGGTAATTATTTATGAAAGTAATGTAAAGTGTTTTTTTTTTTTTTTTTATTTTAGGTTGTGACATCAATCAATGATTGAAAATGATACCTATATATATATATGATTATTATAATAGCAAAATCGATTTGTGAGCAACCAATATTCAAAATATTTTTATTCTTTTTTGACTTGTGAAATGATATAAGATGACTGTTTTATTAAAGGTTAGGAACTTCTGCAGAAGGGGCACAATTGAGAGCAAGGATGCAGAGTGCTTGTCTTATTTCTGATATGGAGTCTTTCAAAGTAAGTCGAAAAAGATATAACATGTGAGCTGGGTCGGATAGAAATCGACCTTATGCAAGTGCATGTACACATGTACATGTGTAAGACTTTGAATTTTTTTTTTGGACATTCAAATACAAAATTACAAAATAAAAGATGAATTTTGGTATGTTTTATAGGGTTCTTATAACAACTCAATTTTCAAATATTTACAGACTTTCCATAGAGATTTTTTTTAAAACCAAAATAGGTTACGAGATGTATTGATCTTCAGCTCATATTTTGATGTTCTAAATTTTGTGAATAACATGTTTTGATAATAAATACCAATTTACTCAAATGAGAATAAGCTCTCATAACCAGTCAGTCGTATTCGTTTTATTAAATTTAACATTTGAATCTGCAGTTCACATGTTTTCTCCAGATTATTTCCATCTAAAGGTATAAAATAATAAATAATAAAAAAGGGAAACAACATGTTAAAAAATGTTTGCATCTGAAGCGCTTTTCTAGATTTACCTCATCAGGAATGCTCAAAGCCTAATATTTGATAGCCAAAGATGAATAGGAACCCAAACAGTTGATAAATCATTTCACCATGCATAAGAAAAGACTGTACTTTGTTGTTAGAGGTGCTGGTTTCATTTCAGGATTGAGGATAAGGACAATTAGAAGAATCAGTAAATCTGATATTTGCAATCGTCATATCCCAATTGCATTGGCAGTGCTTTCAACAGATAACCATTATTTATATTCTAGTGCAATACTTGTAAAATATTTATATAAAACATTGGAAATATCCTAGAAACAATTTTGCAATGAGGTTGACAATGACTTAGCAGATGTCATCCAATCATAGACCGTCAACCATGGTATTGACAGCAGTTGTCATCCAATCCGATACTATCAACCATGATAGTGACAGCAGTTGTCATCCAATCCGAGACTATCAACCATGATAGTTACTGCAGATGTCATCCAATCAGAAGTGGTGTAACATGTCAAATTGAATTCTATATATATCACATTTTTATCATATTGCATATTGCTCATGTTGTCAAGGTGAAGATTCGATTCAATGATATAATTCAAAATGTTTTTGACGTATACATAGATGCCATTAGAAATAGTAGAGGATAACTTGTTTTGTCCTCAATATTAAAAATTTGTTAACTGCCAATGGAATAAATGTGAATTAGTGTATGCACTTTAACATATGTACTTTCACATAGAAATTCAGGAGCAGATGTTATATATTTACATTATAGGCAGCTAATCCAGGTTGTGTTTTAGAAGATTTTGTAAGGTGGTACTCACCTAGAGACTGGATAGAGGATGAATCTACAACATCTAATGATAATACACAGACAAAACCTAAAGGTTTGTACAACTAAATCTTCTGTTTGTGGCTAAAAGTTTTTCTTATTAATAATTACAGCCAAAACTCAAAGGTTTGGACATCTTGATAATTGTACAATTAAATGAGACTTACCTTAAGTCGAAATTTGATTGTAATTTTGTTGAACCTATTTATGCTGAGAGTTAACATGAGATGCGCACGCAGATCGTAGAGGTCACTTTTCAGAGAATGTAACAGAGCACATAAGCACATGATACACCAAAAGAAAACTGGGTGGGAATACGAGTGATAGGGAGGGCATGTTAACTCTCAGCATAAATAGGTTCAACAAAATTACAATCAAATTTCGACTTAAGGTAAGTCTCATTTAATTGTACAATTTTATTGAACCTATATGCTGAGAGTACCATGAGATTTCAGAGATATGTGATCTGTTACTCATGTTCACTGTAATTTAATACAGCCTCATCAATCATGATTTATTTCCAGGCTTTAAAAAACAAGATGTTGTATCAACTTTGTATTCTATCAAAGTACAAAAGTAAAATAAATCAAACATACATTGACATATGCACATGTTATGTTAAACTTTAAAATGTCATTGATTGTAAATCTAACATATGTATTATCATTATTCATGTTATACATGATAAGATATGACTTCTCAAAACCTTCACACTATAATTATCATTATAATTTTGTTTAGATACAGGTTTATCATAAAATTTTCTGAATGTTGATTCATTTGACCAACCTGCCGCTTTTAAAATAGTATCTACTGAAGTAGCACACCGTAGTGCTGCAGATGTACTTGCTGATCTAGTACTATGTGGTTTGTATATAGTTATGTCTACACCAGTTGTTTGCAAAACAATCTTAACCCAACGTCCAAGAGTGTCTTTAGACACATGAGAATATGGTTTTATACAGCTCAAGATTAATTTTTGGGTTTTCCGAAAACATGATGTTCTAACTAAATACTCTTTTAGAACAGTTACAATACACAGACTATTATCCTCAATAAAAGCTGGCAACTCTATTGGTTGTAAATGCCTCCCTGGCTTTGAACATTTTAATAAAATTCTCACATCTATATATATGTTACTATCTGTAACAGTTATATCATCTAAATCTAAGCTATGAATGGTTTGTAACCTTTGACCTGTTAACAATAATAGCAGTGTAACTAGCTTATATGATAAAACACGTAAAGATAACATATAAACTGGTGTTAATGTCTTCAAATATTTAAGCACGACTTCAACATCCCAGGTTCTTTGATATCTGGGTAATGATGGCTTAAGATTGAATATGCCTTTTAGAAAGCGCTTCACCAATGGCCATTGCCCAACAGTTTTCTCTTGATTTACAGACAAAAATGAAGATAACATACTTCTGGCAGTATTAATAGCACTGTAACCTAAACCTATTTTATATAACGAAGTTAAAAATTCTAAAACATTTAACTCAGTGGCTTTAAATGAATTAATTTTTCGTTCACTGCAAAATAACAACCATCTTTTTAAATATGTCCAATATTGTTGTCGAGTAGCTGGTTTCCAAGATGCAATGATGATTTCGGACGATTCTTTTGATAATCCATAATTTTGCAAGATTTCCCCGATATCCTGAAAACTGCTAATCGTAATTTCACTAAATGATGCTCTTTTGTTGGATTCTGGGGTTGATAAAGAAGATTTTTTCGACTGTTTATTATAAATGACTGTGCCACAATCTGATGAAGTATTTGTGGAAACCAGTTCTGAGTGTTCCACAATGGTGCCACTAATGTCATGTCCGCTTGATCCTGGTCCACCTTTTGCAATATCTTCCCTATCAGACTGAAAGGTGAAAAACAATAACAATTAATGTTACTCCATTTTACAGAAAAAGCATCTACTGCTTCAGCATATTTATCAGGAAAATAAGAGAAATAACGTGGTAATTGATGATTAAATTTTGATGCAAACAAATCTACATCATGTGGTCCAAATAAAAAATCAATAATATTAAAAACATCATCATGCAATTTCCACTCAATATCCACATTTATTGATCTCGATAGTCTATCTGCTTCTATATTAGCAACTCCTGGCAAATGACAAGCAGTAACCCAAATTTTCCTTTGTATACACCAAATCCACAATTCCTTTGTCAAATTGTTTAACTTTACAATGCGGCCACGCATTTTATTAATATAATTCACTGCGACCATGTTATCTAGATACACTTTTACATGAATGTTGTTTCTTGACGAACAAAACCAAATTAATGCTAAAAATGCTGCCTTAAGCTCTAGAAAATTAATATGGTTTTTCTGTTCTTCATATGACCAAAACCCTTTGGTTTCGAACAATGTATCTTGCACAACTGCACCCCAACCAGTGTTTGAACTATCAGTGTTAAGAATAAACTTCGGATCTATTAAAGTCATTGGTTTGAAACTACTATTTATATTATTAACCCACCAATTTAAATCTGAAATATTTCCATCTGACAAAGACATTTTTGCATCAAAATTTCCATAATTTTGTTTTAATAATACATCTTTTGTAATTTCTAAAGACTTTATATATAATGGTGCATACTGTACACCTGGTTCCGTTGCTACTAATTTTCCAATAACTTGTGCAAACTCTCTTATTGTAATCTCTTCTTTGAGAATTAACCGACTACATAATTTAATTATATTGTCTGCCTTTTCTTCTGTTACTCTAATACACATTGTTATTGAATTAATCACAAAACCCAAAAAAACAATAATTTGAGTAGGTTGAAGTACAGATTTATCTGGATGTATGGTAAAACCAAGGTGATCTAATAATTGTACTGTGTCAATTATATTACTTTGACATCCAGAAAAGGTCTTGCTCACAAGTAAACTATCATCAATATATGGTGTGTTGCAATGTCCTTTACTTCTCAGTTTTGAAAAAACAATTTTTAAAATTTTTGTGAAAATTCGCGGTGCTGTTGTTAATCCATTTGGCAAACAAGTGTATTCATACAAAACCTCATTCCAATAAAATCTAAGATATTTCCTATCTTTTTCATTGATGCTAACAGAATAATATGCATCTTTTAAATCAACAGAACCAAACCAGCAATTTTGTGTAATGTTTGTTATTGCTGTTTTAAAAGTTTCCATTTTAAAGTGTATTTGTTCAATATCAAGATTTAACTGTTTTAGATTTAAAATTACTCGATAAGTGCCATCTTTCTTGGGTCTCACAAAAATATTTGAAACATACTGATCCTTAATTGGAGTAACAGGTTGAATAATTGTTTTTGAAATAAACTTATCTATTTCTTTTTGTACATATTCATTTTCTTCACTGCTGAATACAAGTGGGTATGGCTTTATAAGCTGTGTAGGAATGTTTTCAAATTCTAACTGATAACCTTTAATAATATTTAAGATCCAATAGTCAGATGTTAATTCCTTCCATCGATGCAAAAACTTTGAAATTTTCCCCCCAATAAAATTATTAGGAATATTTTGAAGTTTTATAGCAGTTAAGTCAATCAAGTGATCATTTGTACTTACATCACTATCAGAAATAACATGATCTACTTTTTGTCTTTGTTTTTCTTCTTGTTGAATGTCTTGCTGCGGTCTAAAAAACCATCATCATCATATTTCCTTATTCTTTTGGTTGGTTTTCCTCCATCAATGTGGCGTTTTCTTTTCCCAAATTTATGAGGAAATCCACGCCCTCCATGGCCATGATGGCTACGTCCCCTGTTAGAAGACTGATATGAGTTCTTGGGATTATCATACGTATAATTATGGTCCTTCCCAACTTTTTTACACACACTATGCTCCGCATCTAGCTCTTTGATTTTTTCCTTAATATCGTCCCCAAACAGCATGTCAGTGACTGGTGTGGTATCATCACACAGACCTTTATACTGGGGTTTAATGTCCCCCTTAATGAAACTCCTACGTCTGAAGGTTATTTCGCTATAACAAGCTTGAAATAGCTGGTACGTATCTCTGCACGTAACTGCATATGCTTGCAGTTCCTCTCTAGACATTCCTTCTTTCTTTGAAGATTTATCCACAAACATATCCATCATATACATCAATGGCCAAGCTGTTTTAGACAAGAGATTCTGTAAACGTTGTAATTTTACATCCACATCTTTATTCCGTGGTGTCATTTGTTTCCAAATACCTACAAGTATAATATAAATTTAGTATATATACACTCAAAAGTTTATAGTGTGTATATTATTATTACATGCAAAGGATTTTTACGCAATATTTATACGTGCACACATTTCGCATAATCATGATAATTATTGCGAGTTTTTCATCATATTTATAATACTATATTATTTATTACCATGTAAATTATGGTTTGTATTATAAAAAATTGATTTGCAGATACACTTGATTTTTCACAAGATAAAAATTTTATTAAAATGCAATTTAATTGCATAAATCCTCACCTATGTTGACTCGTGGGACTTTTAGACTGCTCACATTAGCAGGCTTATCATATTTCTTTGTGAGATCTTTGTATTTTTCTTCATTGACTCGTGTCCTCAGTCCCTGGTTCATGTATGAGGCTAAACCAGAATTAATTTTTGGACCTGTCTTTTCATCTGAACTAATGAAGTCTTTCATGAATTCCAAGACATTTTCATTTTCTGCCTTTTCAATATCATTATCTACTTCATTCTCAGAACATGCTTCATCATCGCTATCGTAACTTTCGTCACTAGAAATATCTGAATATAATTCAGACGGTGCAGATATGTTTTTAGTTTGGTTATTGTTCATATCATTATCAAACAAACTGTCCAGTTGCGATTGGTAATCATCCTTTGTGGGTTTATTTTTCACGACCTTTCTTGGTCCGGCCATTGTTGCCGATTGTCTAGGATTCACCTTTGTGGAACTTTGTGTAGTATCAGTTCTTGAATTCTGATTTTTCATCAAAGTTTGGATATACAATTGATTTTGCAGTAGCATATTGTAGATATCCGGTGTGACTTCTTCCGGAGTGTGAGTGACAGGAGCATTGCTCATGGCTCCTCCTCCTACATTAATGTTTTCAATGCTTGCTTGAAACCCACTAATATTGTTATCGTAACCTGGCGAAATAAGTTGCCTGTGGTCATTCATAATGCTAAAAATATTGTCACTTTTTGAACTAGTCTTGGCCGTGCCAGAAAGTTCCGATACCGAGTCAATGCTCGAATGTTCAGCTATGTCATTAACAATCGTATGCTGACAACGTGACAAATTATCCATCACAAGCTACATCGTTAGAATATTAATCCATCCAAAAACTATATCAAATCGTAAAGTTTGTATTCCAAATGTCACAAATATATTAATTTCCAGTTAAAAACAATTAAGATATCCATTATTTTCAAATAAACATAAGAGGGATAAATTCCATGACTTGACCTCATAAGACCAAATACGCTAGTGACCTCTACGATCTGCGTGCGCATCTCATGGTACTCTCAGCATATAGGTTCAATAAAATGTATAATATGTGGCAAAAAATATATCTAATGATAATCATGATAATACACAGACTAAAACTACAGGTTTACACATCTTAATTATATTACATTGTTTGTGGCCATTAATATATGATGATACATGGACATGAATTCAAGGTAAGTATAAATTACTTAAGAACAGTTTAAGGTCAAAAGAAATGTGATGTTCATTCAGTCTGTAACAAAGGTTTGTTCCTATTTATTGTCATCTCTTAAGTTCTAAGGTTAGCATGACATATTGGTACATTATTAGAATCTAAGAGACTCAACTTACTAGAGATATATGTATTCTGTCATTGATTGAACATAATCTGAATAATGGCTGTTATGTTTTATAATTAGATTGCAGATATCAATTTCAGGAATGGGTTAAAGTGATGAAATGTAATACTGCTAGCAATCAGGTTTTTTTTTGTAGATTCCGTGAAAATGTTTCTTCTTCTTTAAATTGTTTTTCTTAATGATTTCAGGTTATTTAAGTCCAAGAATGCAAATACCAGGGAATGTATGGTACGAAGCATGGCAAAGTGCAAAGCCAGTTCCAGCTCATAGACAGAAAAGATTATTTGATGACACAAAGGAAGCTGAAAAGGTTAGTAAGGCAATCTGAAATATTTTATTTCATGTTTTTTTTAAATTAATTGTTTTACAGGTTGAAATTATACTCAATCTTAAACACGGGTTTATTTTCATACAGCTGGTCAGTTTAAAAATTTGTTAGTTACTCATATAAAAGTTGCTTATGTGAAAGAGCTTGCTTCAGTTGACTTTACCTTATATTTTCTTTATTTTTACCAGAGAAATTTTAAATTAAACATGATATTTTTTAAAACAGCTTGTCAAAAGATTAGAATAGAATTGACCAGTTGTAAGAAAACTAGTTTATTCATGTTTAAGTTAAAAGGTAACTGTATAAGTTAATCTGTTTTTGCTGGTCCTTCCCAAAAAATCCATTTTACTGGATCTATGTGTAACACATGTGTATGCCAGCTAAAAGTTGGCATTATATCTTCTCAACACAATTTCTGATAAGGAGAAAACCTATTCAGTTTCAAGGTCAAAGGTTAAAGTCTAGTTCACAACATAATATAAAAACTTAATGACATGATAAAGCTGGAGTATATACAATGTAGATGTAGTTTCAACTTTATCAGTTGATTTATCAGGTTGAATGCAATGAATACTATAAGATTACAAGGTTAAAGATCAAAGATCAAAAGTTTTGTTTTTTATTTTAAAAAAAAACAGCTTGCAAGCATGGCAAATGTTACAGCATATTGCACTGTAAACAACTATTGAAATATGAACAATTAGAATTGTTACTTATCTAATAGTTGACTCTGAGTTATGAATTTACCCAGATTTAAAATCCACAAGACCTGATGAAGTTATACCACATTTACTGTTATATTTGACCTTCGATATTTTACTGTGGCTATGTTTCCTGTCATCTTTGTAACAGATGATTGTATAACATATACAATCATAACTGTTTTACATTTTACAGGTATTACATTTCCTGTCTGCCATGAAACCAGCTGATGTTATTTTACAATTAATGCCATGTTTGATTCATGCTGCAATTATAAAGGTTGTAGAAAATGGTAAGTTTCTTTAAAATCTGTCTGTTTGGTCACACTTTTAGACCTCACTGTTCAAAGTGTGGCTGCTTACAAGGAAGCTATTGAACCAAGGATTCCATATGCTTATAAAAGTTGAAGTCATTCCTCTGAAAGTTTTTAATTATCACCATGAATTGACTGACTGTTATGTCTGTGTAACAGATGATGACAGAAATGTTTACCGATACTTGCCATGAACAACACAACATATGGCAACTACTGAAACAGGAACTGCTGATCTTTCTATAACATTGTGTTCACCAAGGGTTTTTTTTGTGGGGTTTCTTTTGAATAGTCTTTATTTTTCTATGAAGTGTTTTGTAGACTGTTGTTGTCTTTTCATCATCTTGTCTCGTCTTGACAGAGTCCATGGTATTGTCTGTTTTTGTCTTGTCTTGACAGAGTCCATGGTATTGTCTGTTTTTGTCTTGTCTTGACAGAGTCCATGGTATTGTCTGTTTTTGTCTCACCTTGACAGAGTCCATGGTATTGTCTGTTTTTGTCTCACCTTGATAGAGTCCATGGTATTGTCTGTTTTTGTCTCCCCTTGACAGAGTCCATGGTATTGTCTGTTTTTGTCTCCCCTTGACAGAGTCCATGGTATTGTCTGTTTTTGGCTCGCCTTGACAGAGTCCATGGTATTGTCTGTTTTTGTCTCACCTTGACAGAGTCCATGGTATTGTCTGTTTTTGTCTCCCCTTGACAGAGTCCATGGTATTGTCTGTTTTTGTCTCCCCTTGACAGAGTCCATGGTATTGTCTGTTTTTGTCTCGCCTTGACAGAGTCCATCGTATTGTCTGTTTTTGTCTTGCCTTGACCAAGTCCATGGTATTGTCTGTTTTTGTCTTGCCTTGACAGAGTCCATGGTATTGTCTGTTTTTGTCTCACCTTGACAGAGTCCATGGTATTGTCTGTTTTTGTCTCACCTTGACAGAGCCCATGGTATTGTCTGTTTTTGTCTCGCCTTGACAGAGTCCATGGTATTATCTGTTTTTGTCTCGCCTTGACAGAGTCCATGGTATTGTCTGTTTTTGTCTCCCCTTGACAGAGTCTGTCTCGCCTTGAGAGTCCATGGTATTGTCTGTTTTTGTCTCACCTTGACAGAGTCAATGGTATTGTCTGTTTTTGTCTCCCCTTGACAGAGTCCATGGTATTGTCTGTTTTTGTCTCCCCTTGACAGAGTCCATGGTATTGTCTGTTTTTGTCTCCCCTTGACAGAGTCCATGGTATTGTCTGTTTTTGTCTCGCCTTGACAGAGTCCATGGTATTGTCTGTTTTTGTCTTGCCTTGACAGAGTCCATGGTATTGTCTGTTTTTGTCTCGCCTTGACAGAGTCCATGGTATTGTCTGTTTTTGTCTCATCTTGACAGAGTCCATGGTATTGTCTGTTTTTGTCTCGCCTTGACCAAGTCCATGGTATTGTCTGTTTTTGTCTCGCCTTGACAGAGTCCATGGTATTGTCTGTTTTTGTCTCACCTTGACAGAGTCCATGGTATTGTCTGTTTTTGTCTCACCTTGACAGAGCCCATGGTATTGTCTGTTTTTGTCTCACCTTGACAGAGCCCATGGTATTGTCTGTTTTTGTCTCCCCTTGACAGAGTCCATGGTATTGTCTGTTTTTGTCTCACCTTGACAGAGTCCATGGTATTGTCTGTTTTGTCTCACCTTGACAGAGTCCATGGTATTGTCTGTTTTTGTCTCGCCTTGACAGAGCCCATGGTATTGTCTGTTTTTGTCTCGCCTTGACAGAGTCCATGGTATTGTCTGTTTTTGTCTCCCCTTGACAGAGTCCATGGTATTGTCTGTTTTTGTCTCGCCTTGACAGAGTCCATGGTATTTTCTGTTTTTGTCTCGCCTTGACAGAGTCCATGGTATTGTCTGTTTTTGTCTCGCCTTGACAGAGTCCATGGTATTGTCTGTTTTTGTCTCGCCTTGACAGAGTCCATGGTATTGTCTGTTTTTGTCTCATCTTGACAGAGTCCATGGTATTGTCTGTTTTTGTCTTACCTTGACCAAGTCCATGGTATTGTCTGTTTTTGTCTTGCCTTGACAGAGTCCATGGTATTGTCTGTTTTTGTCTCACCTTGACAGAGTCCATGGTATTGTCTGTTTTTGTCTCACCTTGACAGAGCCCATGGTATTGTCTGTTTTTGTCTCACCTTGACAGAGCCCATGGTATTGTCTGTTTTTGTCTCACCTTGACAGAGTCCATGGTATTGTCTGTTTTTGTCTCACCTTGACAGAGTCCATGGTATTGTCTGTTTTGTCTCGCCTTTACAGAGTCCATGGTATTGTCTGTTTTTGTCTGCCCTTGACAGAGTCTGGCTCGCCTTGAGAGTCCATGGTATTGTCTGTTTTTGTCTCACCTTGACAGAGTCCATGGTATTGTCTGTTTTTGTCTCACCTTGACAGAGCCAATGGTATTGTCTGTTTTTGTCTCACCTTGACAGAGCCCATGGTATTGTCTGTTTTTGTCTCCCCTTGACAGAGTCTGTCTCGCCTTGAGAGTCCATGGTATTGTCTGTTTTTGTCTCACCTTGACAGAGTCCATGGTATTGTCTGTTTTTGTCTCACCTTGACAGAGCCCATGGTATTGTCTGTTTTTGTCTCCCCTTGACAGAGTCCATGGTATTGTCTGTTTTTGTCTCGCCTTGACAGAGTCCATGGTATTGTCTGTTTTTGTCTCGCCTTGACAGAGTCCATGGTATTGTCTGTTTTTGTCTCGCCTTGACAGATTCCATGGTATTGTCTGTTTTTGTCTCGCCTTGACCAAGTCCATGGTATTGTCTGTTTTTGTCTCGCCTTGACCAAGTCCATGGTATTGTCTGTTTTTGTCTCGCCTTGACCAAGTCCATGGTATTGTCTGTTTTTGTCTCACCTTGACAGAGTCCATGGTATTGTCTGTTTTTGTCTCACCTTGACAGAGCCCATGGTATTGTCTGTTTTTGTCTCACCTTGACAGAGCCCATGGTATTGTCTGTTTTTGTCTCACCTTGACAGAGCCCATGGTATTGTCTGTTTTTGTCTCACCTTGACAGAGTCCATGGTATTGTCTGTTTTTGTCTCGCCTTGACAGAGTCCATGGTATTGTCTGTTTTTGTCTCCCCTTGACAGGGTCTGTCTTGCTTTGAGAGTCCATGGTATTGTCTGTTTTTGTCTCACCTTGACAGAGTCCATGGTATTGTCTGTTTTTGTCTCACCTTGACAGAGTCCATGGTATTGTCTGTTTTGTCTTGCCTTGACAGAGTCCATGGTATTGTCTGTTTTTGTCTCGCCTTGACAGAGTCCATGGTATTGTCTGTTTTTGTCTCACCTTGACAGAGTCCATGGTATTGTCTGTTTTGTCTTGCCTTGACAGAGTCCATGGTATTGTCTGTTTTTGTCTCGCCTTGACAGAGTCCATGGTATTGTCTGTTTTTGTCTCGCCTTGACAGAGCCCATGGTATTGTCTGTTTTTGTCTCACCTTGACAGAGTCCATGGTATTGTCTGTTTTTGTCTCGCCTTGACAGAGTCCATGGTATTGTCTGTTTTTGTCTCCCCTTGACAGGGTCTGTCTCGCCTTGAGAGTCCATGGTATTGTCTGTTTTTGTCTCACCTTGACAGAGTCCATGGTATTGTCTGTTTTTGTCTCACCTTGACAGAGTCCATGGTATTGTCTGTTTTTGTCTCACCTTGACAGAGTCCATGGTATTGTCTGTTTTTGTCTCACCTTGACAGAGTCCATGGTATTGTCTGTTTTTGTCTCACCTTGACAGAGCCCATGGTATTGTCTGTTTTTGTCTCCCCTTGACAGAGTCCATGGTATTGTCTGTTTTTGTCTCGCCTTGACAGAGTCCATGGTATTGTCTGTTTTTGTCTCGCCTTGACAGAGCCAATGGTATTGTCTGTTTTTGTCTCGCCTTGACAGAGTCCATGGTATTGTCTGTTTTTGTCTCGCCTTGACAGAGTCCATGGTATTGTCTGTTTTTGTCTCCCCTTGACAGAGTCCATGGTATTGTCTGTTTGTTGTGTCCCCTTGACAGAGTCCATGGTATTTTCTGTTTTTGTCTCGCCTTGACAGAGTCCATGGTATTGTCTGTTTTTGTCTCGCCTTGACAGAGTCCATGGTATTGTCTATTTTTGTCTCGCCTTGACAGAGTCCATGGTATTGTCTGTTTTTGTCTCATCTTGACAGAGTCCATGGTATTGTCTGTTTTTGTCTTACCTTGACCAAGTCCATGGTATTGTCTGTTTTTGTCTTGCCTTGACAGAGTCCATGGTATTGTCTGTTTTTGTCTCACCTTGACAGAGCCCATGGTATTGTCTGTTTTTGTTTCATCTTGACAGAGTCCATGGTATTGTCTGTTTTTGTCTCACCTTGACAGAGTCCATGGTATTGTCTGTTTTGTCTCGCCTTTACAGAGTCCATGGTATTGTCTGTTTTTGTCTGCCCTTGACAGAGTCTGGCTCGCCTTGAGAGTCCATGGTATTGTCTGTTTTTGTCTCACCTTGACAGAGTCCATGGTATTGTCTGTTTTTGTCTCACCTTGACAGAGCCCATGGTATTGTCTGTTTTTGTCTCCCCTTGACAGAGTCCATGGTATTGTCTGTTTTTGTCTCCCCTTGACAGAGTCCATGGTATTGTCTGTTTTTGTCTCACCTTGACAGAGTCCATGGTATTGTCTGTTTTTGTCTCACCTTGACAGAGTCCATGGTATTGTCTGTTTTTGTCTCACCTTGACAGAGTCCATGGTATTGTCTGTTTTTGTCTCGCCTTGACAGAGTCCATGGTATTGTCTGTTTTTGTCTCCCCTTGACAGAGTCCATGGTATTGTCTGTTTTTGTCTCGCTTTGACAGAGTTCATGGTATTGTCTGTTTTTGTCTCGCCTTGACAGAGTCCATGGTATTGTCTGTTTTTGTCTCACCTTGACAGAGCCCATGGTATTGTCTGTTTTTGTCTCCCCTTGACAGAGTCCATGGTATTGTCTGTTTTTGTCTCACCTTGACAGAGTCCATGGTATTGTCTGTTTTTGTCTCACCTTGACAGAGTCCACGGTATTGTCTGTTTTTGTCTCACCTTGACAGAGTCCATGGTATTGTCTGTTTTTGTCTCACCTTGACAGAGTCCATTGTATTGTCTGTTTTTATATTGCACCCTTGGTATCTTCTTCCATTTTCTTAATACTTTTGTTAATAAGGCTAACTGTAAGTGGATGTTGGAGAGGATTATAAATAAAAGATACCATTTCAGACTTTTGATATGGTTTAAAATTGTAATAAATTTTTTTCAATAAAACTTTATTTTCAAACGGGTGAACAATTAACAACTGCCATTGTGTGATAACAATAATTTCAATTTTGACTAGTAATTAAAACTTTCTTTCACAATTTAGAAATTGATCATGCACCTGTCAAACAGCATGTTATCATTAAATTTAGATTCACTCAATTTGAAGTAAAATTGAGAATGGAAATGGGGAATGTGTCAAAGAGACAACAACCCGACCAAAGAGCAGAAAACAGCAGAAGGCAACTAATGGGTCTTCAACACAGAGAGAAAATCCCGCATCCGGAGGCAGGCTTCAGCTGGCCCTTAAACAAAAATGTGTACTAGTTCAATGAAAATGGACGTCACACTAAACTCCAAAACATATAAATGAACTAAAATTTAAAAAACATACAAGACTAACAAAGGCCAAAGGCTCCTGACTTGGGACAGGCGCAAAAATGCGGCGGGGTTAAACATGTTTTGTGAGATCTCAACCCTCCCCCTATACCTCGAGCCAATTATGCATATTTATTAAACACACAAGTAAATATTTTAAGGAATTACATTCAATACAAGTGAACGAGGAAAGCGAAAGGTGATTAGGTCAAAATCATCAGGCTGTAATGAAAATATGGAGACCTTAATCTCAGTCTAAATTCCCAGTTGATACCAAGGAATTAGCCAATTGAAATTTAAAAAATCTTTTATCTTAGTATTACAGACTGACAGCAGTGGTAGCTTCAGGGGGGTTTGTAGCCCTTTGATTGGAAAATATATCATTTTTATGCCCCACCTACGATAGTAGAGGGGCATTATGTTTTTCGGTCTATGCATCCGTTCGTTCGTTCATTCGTTTCCGTCTGTCCTGCTTCAGGTTAAAGTTTTTGGTCAAGGTAGTTTATGATGAAGTTGAAATCCAATCAACTTGAAACTTAGTACACATGTTCCCTATGATATGATCTTTCTAATTTTAATGCCAAATTAGAGTTTTTACCCCAATTTCACAGTCCACTGAACATAGAAAATGATAGTGCGAGTGAGGCATCCAGGTACTATGGACACATTCTTGTTTAGCATAAAATCGTACTTTTTTCTGTCTTGCTACAACTCCTTTCAAAAATCTTGGATCCACCCCTGGACTGTTTACTATCCTTTTTTAAAGGCCTAACTCCTAACTTGACTTTTAAGACATATGGAAAGATAAGAGTTGTCTTAACTAATTAACTGTTTCCTTAAATGAAGCAATTTACATAATAATACATAAAAATGCATGAATTATTTAACTTTATATCAGAGGGAATTATTATAGTAAATATAGGCTTTATACAAACTATGAAAAAAGTAAAATATGTATGTCTACTATAAAGAGTGAATTGTATGTCAACTATAAAGTGTTAATTATATTTCTACTATAAAGTGTGAATCTAAATGTTACAGATGATTCAGATATACCCAGATTGAAGGACATTTTAGACCAAGTGATAACTAGAGCTTCCAAAGTGACGAGGGCATTTAACCAAAATGCTAAACATTATGAGGTAATATATATGTATTTCTGTTAACAGCTTGATTTTAACTTTTGAAGAAAAAATATGATTAAGCATGATTTATAAAGTTATATATTACTGCATGTGTTCTGCATGTGTGAAAAATGTCTAATATCATTGAAATCCCAAATAAAGATCAGCAAAAACAAAACAAAAAACAAAACAACAAATATCATCAAAGGTCAGCTTTGACTCATGATGCTATTACAACCCCAATATAAGTTCATTTATAAAACATATATTACTAACATTTACAATAAAAATCTATCATTAAAATCATGCCATTATCGAAGTGTTGGTCACTGGATGGATAGTATCCAAGGGTGTACAGAGAACACTTAAAGCTGGAGCTTTAAGTAATACAATTTTCCTACAAAACCTTAGAGGTAACCAACTGGCGTATTATCTCAATTTTGTAAAATCTAGTTAAGGGGAAATACATGAAGATGTTTGTTTGCATTAAATGTCCAACTCTTCCAAACTGATTTAATTGATTTCTAATCAAAGGTTATGCACTTTATCAAGATTTCTCTAATTTTCACCTGATTTATACTTTTCTGGACTGGTTAATTATCATTTTATAACCAGTGTGTGGTTTCTTCATTGATCAAAATTTAATTATGACATCAAGTTATCTTTCTTTCCTCTGAATTTGCTATTGACATAATGAAAAAGGCAACCAACCATGCCTGATGTTGTCACAAAGAAAGATCACAACTTTTTGCGGATATTTTTTTCCTTTATATAGTCTGAAAATCATTAGAGAAACAGTTTCCACCACAGAACATCTTGCAACACAATATTTCTCCACAATGCACAGTTAGATTTTAAATATTTAAAATACTCAGCAAGCCTTGTTTTTTTAAATTTGTGAAATTGGGCAGTCTCAAGTTGAGAAATTTCATATAACACTTGATACAGTTGAAGAATATATATATACATATAATTCGTCTCAAATTTAGCCCAATATATACATATAATTCATCTCAAATTTAGCCCAATATATACATATAATTCGTCTCAAATTTAGCCCAACAATATTAGATCTTTAAATTTGCGTTCGCAAATTTTTGTTCTTCCCTCAGCAGGACTTGAACCCTTGCTGAGGGATAAAGGTTTTATCTGATAGGTGTTCATATATTACAATGGATTTTGCATTTTTTCCCCAGTGGTTTGTATGTAAACTTTATGTATACAGCTTTACGGTTATGGTTTTATGATTTTCAGATAAAGATTGAACCAAAGTAGTATGAAGATATTTCATATACATAAAAATGAAAAATTAACTTTTCTTTGGAGCAAGGAGTGCTCACAACTTCTTTCAGTCACCAACTAATAAGTAAGCAATCTGATTTTTTTCAGGATTTACTAAGAATGATTACAACACTTGAAAATATGATTGCTCAAGCAAAATCCTTAAGGACAAAGTTCACAACAGACTTGTTGAAGGATTGCGATAAAGAAGAAGAGTTGTCTCAGTTTTTGACGCAATTACTACAGAAACCAGAAGTAGATATAGAAGGAGCTTCACAAGGAACAGTAGGATCATGCTTGCATCAGTTGTTTATTGCTCAGCAAAAGGTAAGGCATTTGCTAGCAAAGCATCCACTAGTTATTAAAGCATGTGCTAGCAAAGTAGCACACTATTACAACAGGTGCTAGCTAAGCAGTTTATTTTTATTGCAACATGTTCTAGCAAAGCAGTTTAGTTTTATTGTAACATGTGCTAGCAAAGCAGTTGGTTATCATTATAACATGTGCTAGCAAAGCAGTTTTTAATCTATTCTAAAAAAGCATCTGATTATTTTAAGCAGAATTATAAAATATTAAATGTTGAGGAACAGATATTTAGTGAATGAAAACTACAAAGGAATCCAGTGGAATACTTATGTCGGATTCCGATTAGCATGGCTTTTATTTGCTAGCATACTTATTTGATTATTAGCTCACCTGGCTGAAAAGCTTTTACAAAAATCTTCTCCTCAGAAACCACTGGGCAAAATTTAACCAAACTTAGTCAAACATCATTTGGGAATCTAGTTTAAAAAATGTGTCCAATGACCCTGCCTGCCAACCAAGATGGCGGACATTGCTAAAAATAGAACATAGGAGTAAAATGCAAGTATTACTTATCATTTTGAAAACTGCTATAAATAGAGAAATATTGACAGAAGCAAAAATGTTCAGAATGTTGAGCTCTAACTATTGTCCATTCATGTCAAAACTGTCAGACCAATTCTCATAGGAGTTATTGCCTGTAAATGACGATTTTTACCATTTAAAAATTTTTCTAATTATCTCTTAAATTATAATAGATACACAGAAACTTTAAATTGCAAAAATTATTAGCATGGTAAGATCTACAAATAAGGCAACATAATTAAAATTGTTTGACTACTCTTTGTCAGAGTTATTGCCCTTAAATGACGATTTTTTTTTCTCTCCAAAATTTTGTGGTTTTGCCTAATATCTTAAAAACTATAATAGATAAATAGAAACTTTTAAGCTGAAATGATCAGCAAGACAAGATCTACAAATAAACCATAATGGTTGAAATCTTCAGTCGACTTGTTATTAGAGTTATTGCCCTTTAATGGTAATTTTTACATTTTTTTGATAAAAAAATAAATAGAAATTTTAGAAAGGAAAAATTGTCAGCAGGATAAGATCTACAAATATGTCAACATGACTGAAATTGTCAGTTAACTCTTAATAGAGTTGTTCCCCTTTAATGATGATTTTTACTATAAAGTGGCCATTGTTGAAGATAGATGCAGGTGAGTGACACAGGCTCTTTAGAGCCTAGTTTTTAATTCCATAGAAGTCCTGCAAGCATGATTTCTATATTAAATACAAGAATAAATTGGAATTTTTTTACTGATATATTGTAGGTATCACTAAAAATAGTACGCTGAAGAAAATAAATCATATTGCAGTGGTCAGTTTTATTTCATTTCATTAATTATTTTTCTATTACAGGAAGTAAACATGATTGGAGAAGAAGAGAGTTTATCAGAAAACAAAAATAGTGCAATATCAGACTTTCCACAACCCTCAGCCAGAGAATATATTCTAAGAACAATGGCTCCACGGCCTGCTCCATACTCAAAAACATTGCCGCAGAAAATGTTTTGTAGTATAATGGTTGGTCATCATTTTCAGTTAGCTGGAGCTTTCACTTCGGATTCTCTGTTTCAGTGATTTATGTCAATTTTAGGATTTTTAAATTGTTAAGTCTACAAAAAATATGTTGTTATGTCTTTCTGCTATTTATTGAACTAAAAATAAAAATTATATGCTATGGTTTGTTTTTAATATATTCGCAAAATTTAACTTTATTGTTTCTTGTTAGTATGACATAAGGGTTAATATATATAGAAAAATGGCATTTTTGTTTTTGATACTGACTTTATCAGCAAGAATGTGAAGTGAGCTTGCTAGGTGAGCTGATGAAGTCAGTATCATAAATTAAAATGCCATTATTCTTTTTATCAGCAATTTGTCTTAACTGTATGTTTTTTTGGTTGAAATTTTGAGGTAAATTGAAATAGTAAATAAAACTACATTTACGTGTACAAAAAGTTTGGATGGTAATTCGGTTGTATGAATGAAGTTGCATGCATTTCATTGATAAATTGACGCGGATGGACTTGAGCACATGATGTTGCTGCACTGATATATGACTTTATTGCCTAATATTTTCGAGTATCAACTTCTGTCCATGATCTTACAAATATAAGGCAGTAATGGTGTTTGTTGGTGTTTAACGCTACTTTTAGTGACCTTTGCTATATCATTGCATCCAGTTTTTATTAGTTGAGGAAGCTGCAGTACCTGGAGAGAACTGCCTACCTTCAGTGGGAAAAATGTCAATCCTTGTCAATAAAAGAGAGGTGAAGGATACCAAAGGGACATTCAAACTCGTAAGTCGAAAATAAACTGACAACGCCATGGCTAAAAAAGAAAAAGACAAACAGACAAGGAACAGTACAATCAACAATAAGGATCACCTCATCACGAGAAGAGTTTAAACTCACAACTTCACAGTTGACTTAGCTACAAATTATTTGGTTAAATTGACATAGCTTTCAAAAATCTATTTTGCAGGATATATAGATATCTACAAACTTTTCGAATTGAATGTTTTTCTTTTTTTTTAAATATTAAGAATAAGATGTGTTCATCATGATATGGAAGAATTTTATCCATATGTGCATACTATGAAACATATGGCTATTTACCAAATATTGAAAAAATATTTTCTTTGTATTAATGCAAATACATATTTACCGACTGCATGAAGAACTCTTGATTTTCTGTCTCATTGACAAATAATACTTTACATCTCCTTTTATCCATATAATATTTACATTTCTGGCTGGGTTGGACAAAGTGAAAAAACAGCTTATAGTATGGTTATGTTTGAACGATGGAATGGGAAAAGTGGGTACATAATTTGTATAATCAACTACTTCTACAGTTTTCAACCCAGATTTCTGAAACTTCACAGGGGGATTGCACATATGTTGAAGATGTGCACCTGCTATTATGGAAGTTTTTAAGGAATTTTTTCTCATTTTCCCAGACTTGGGCACTTGGTAATTTTTCAAATATTTAAATGTTCAGTATAGAGCATTATTCATTGTTTAATAAACATTCTGTGCAACCAGGCCATTTTAGTCTATGATCTTTTTTTAATGTATTTACATATAATTAAATGTGTAATATAGACCAGCCATAATTGTTTTAGAGACATTCTGTGCACAAAGTTATTACAGTCTTTTACACAAGAGAGTCCTATATTAGTACTTATGAAATAGGAGGCATGAATATAAGACGATGTGGTATGATTGTCAATAAGACAACTATCCAACAGAGATCAAAGAACGAGTATGTAAACAACTATAGGCCTTTAACAATGAGAAAAACCCATATGGCATTGTAAGTTATAAAAGGTCCATTATAAAATGTGAAACAAACCAATGGCCTGCTTTGTGTGTATGATTATATAGCCAGACAATACATTCTACTTGTCATTATTCCACACTTATATCATTAATTGCCTTAGTGCTGGAAATGATAACTCGCAACAGCAGGAAAGTACTATGTATTATATTTGTGCTTGTTATGTGGTTTATTTTTATCCAATGTAATTTATACTCTTCAGAGTGTTTGACCTGTTAACCTGTTGCGGAAAATCTTCAAGGTATGGGGCGTTATTTTGATATTCATCAACAATGGAGCAGAAAAGAGTTTTCAGAAATACTATTGGCTTAATGTTGTCTTGCAATCAGTTGTTTTAGATACTTAATGTTGAGATCAACAAATGGATGACCATAAGTATCCTGAAATGCTGTTCAGCGTTTTCAGCTGCTGCATTATTCCTATGGCAATTATCTCCAGGTGTATGCAGTTGTTGGTCATAGTTTCATGTTAATTTGCAATACTACTTACTATAAAAAGATCAGTAAATTCTTCCTCTGCATTGTCTCTTATCTGGAGAAAAGATGTAGCTTGATCGTTTTAGCTTGTACATGAGCTTCCACAAGATCACATGCATTTATATTATTTTCTTTCGTTTTTCTATTGATTTCATTACTATTATATTTTTTCGGCTGGCACCACAATAGGAGGCATCTGGCTACATGCCTCCACAAATTTAAGGCTTGGCACAATTCAAGACCTTTTTTAGTCAATGTTCTGGTTTTTTTTTGAAATGCTGCAGCTCATATCTGGGATATCTTCTAAACAACTTACATTTGTTATAAGATTGGAAGGATTTTTATTCACCATATGATCTGAGGGATCTCCTCTTAAAGCACGGACTTTGTCTTTAGGGAGCTACCATTTGATTTTTATGGGGGGCTAGGATGAAATTTGAAAAAAAAGGCAGGACAGGAGTTTTGAGTAAAAATAAAAAGGCAGGATGAGCAACTTGGCAAAAAAAAAAAGGCAGGATAAACTAATAAAAAAAAAAGGCAGGACCGAAAAGAGTGAAAAATAAAAAGGCAGGACAGAGATTACAACTAAAAAAAAAATGCAGGACAAAATTTTTCATCCTAGCCCCCCCATAAAAATCAAATGGTAGCTCCCTTAGTTGCAATGGAATTTGTCATTTAATTAAGAGCTGTCATGACATTTTAAAAGTCTTTGTTGGAAAATATATATGTAACAGATCAACAGTGTGGTATTGTATTATGCCTTTTAAACAAATTATCCACCCAAGACTAATGAAGTGTATCAAAACATACACTGTACTTAAATATCATACAGTATGACCTTGAACAATGAGCAAAGTTTTGTTAAAGAATAAATTTCTTTGATACTTGTAGAGGTCTGAATAGAGGATATCACCCAAGATCAACCCCAGTGATAGGTGGGATGTTTAATATTTTTTTTTTAATTGTTTTTAATTTTTGGCCATGGTGATGTCTTCTTGTTATTTGACTTTTGGTGTTTTCTCTCTCTCTTTTAAAACATGCTCTAATTATCAACAATTCAAAGAAAATCATACATGCCATTTAAAATTTTTTTTTTTTTTATTTACAGAAGTGGGTCATAATAGGTTAAGAAAGTAATTTGGTTTAAAACATGCCACCAGGTGAATTTTAATACAGATAATTTTTTTATGTGCAAAAATTAAAGCATATTTAGCTTATACTTCAGCATCAAATCTAGTAGTGTAAATGAGTCTATTGGTCCAAAGAGGAATATCTAACACAAAGAGAAATATCTAAAAGGACAATTTTAAAAGTAAAAGTTTTGACAAATACACGATATATACATTTTTGCTGTAAAAAAAATTTTGTAATGAAAGTATTATGTTCAATGAAATCTTGGATGTCACTGCAAAAGAGTACATATCAAACCAACTCAGAAAAAAAGCACTCCATAAGAAGGAGCCAACAAAACATCATCATCTATGAAAGATAAGGTTGTCCAGTTTATCAAAATTTTTGGTATATAGATGACCATAAGAAATTCTAAAATCAAAATCTATAAAATTATAGATGCACCATGGGTGCATAAGCCAAGTCGTGATCTTTATCGATTTTTAGCAGAAGAAATATTTTTATTTGAAAGTTACATTCAGCTTTTTGGTTTTTGCGATTTAGAATCAAATTCTGCAGACATGTGCTTAACAAAACCACAAATAAACCCAAGTTTCAGTCGACTAATAGCTGCCCGTCTTTTAACCTTCAAAGACCAATATAGGTCTTCATCACATGGCCATTATCAACCAAGTTTGGTATCACTTGGGAATATGATTTAAAAGACATCATCAGGGAACCAAAATTTTGATCAAATTTCAGCTGTGACCTTCACATAGTGACTGCAAAATTGACAGTGGTCTTCAACTTGTATGGCATTATAAAATCATATTTGGTTAAGATATCGTTTATTGCTCAACAGGATCTAACTGGAAACTGAAATGAAGATGTCCAGCAAGTTTAAAACATACTAAAAATGACATGTCACTATTAATGATAGATAATTTTCAATTGCATATTATTAAACCATTGCCGTGACGTCAGCTTATTCATTTACCGTGATTCTTTTTCTAGAATCAACGGCTCCTATTTCTGTCGCTGAAATAGACTCACCAAATTATACTTCACTAGGAATCGACCCCCTCCTTAAAATCTGTTATGTGTGACTGACATCAACACATCCACGAAACCTCTCGGCTACCAATGGGTTGCAATTAAGATGTCTATTATATATGAACATATCAGTGGCGGATCCAGAAATTTTCATAAGGGGGGCCTACTGACTGCGCAAGAGGGGGCCCGCAGTCATGCTTCAGTGATTTCCTATATAATCAACCAAATTTTTCCAACAAAAGGGAGACCAGGGCAACCTGCGCCCCCTAAATCCACATCTGCATATCATACACATCGGTACAATGCACATGTAGCACACAGGGTTTGTACCTTTATATATACATAATAGACAATCTTGTAGTATAAGTTGTTAGCCATATGGTTAAGATCCACGAGTTATACAGTCAAGTTAGAAGTAGAGACTTGTCGGTTTAGGTTTGAATCCCTGTTTTTCTCTGTCGCTATTCTTTGGTTTTTCCATTTTTCTCATTTTGTATGTTATTGTGGATATTTTTGTAATAATAGAGTTTACTTTTGGATTATCATTGGCCAATTTGTGTATTTGAAAGAAAAAATGATTACATTCAATTTGTCCATTTTTGTCGAGCCTTCGACTTTTGTCGAAAAAGCGAGACATAGCGATCCTACATTCCGTCGGCGTCGTCGTCGTCGTTGTCGTCGGCGGCGTCCACAAATA